GGAATTCCTGATGGAAGCACCAACTTTCTTATATCATCTTCTTCGATGATGACTCGTAACTGGATTGCCATTATTGTTTGGGTTATGCTGTCATCACCTGTAAGGAAAGAAGAGAACAGAAAAAGTTAAAAGTTGATACATTATCTTTCCATTAACAAGTTGTGTGTATTAAAGAAAAAAAAATGTACATAAAGAACAAGCTTTTGTCCTTGACAATATTAATTAGGGAGAGGGAAGATGAAATGAGGAGTGAAGCACAGAGCAGGGCAAGAGTTTACAAGGTTCCAATATATTGTCCCTGATAACTTCAGATCATTAATAGAATGACAAAAAAAAAATTGAAATAAAGAGTACCTAATCGGATGTCCAAATGAAGTGCTTAAGGGACACCACTTGGCCATCTGCTGTATTGTATGCAGCCAGGGGGTATGCATCTTTCATTTCTGAATGCTGTATGATTTCAATCTCTCCTGTTGGCTCAACTTTGAAGCTCCTTAGATGGTCATGGTACCACCCACTTAGCAACTTCATAACAAAGATGGGGCTTTCATGGACAATGATTATTTGTATTATTTTTCCAAAGTCAGGCAATCCTCCTGTTGATCCAAAGGGCAACAACATTCCCACATTATAGTCTCTGCCTAAAATGGTGACTTTGCTTGTCAAACTCACAGATACTACCCCAGGAAACTTTTTTGCAAATGACTCCTTAATGCTGTCTTTTAGCATTTCAACCGGCACTTGAGTCATTCTGGACACTAGAAATGCTGGCCTTTGACTGTTGTCATCATGGATGTGATAAGCAATCATTGATTGGTGTTTTCTTGCCATTGTCATGAGAATGTTTCTGAAAGAGCCAGTCTGTCTAACTATCCTTTTAAAGAATCTGTGTTTGGCTTCAAAACGCATTGTCCAAAGAGCCACAAGTGGTCCAAACATGGTTGTAAGCTGTGGGTAATGTTCAAGGAAGTGGTGTTTTGGTGTCAACTTACTACTTGGAAACACATCTAAATACCTGTGACGGTGTTCACTGATCTTGCTTTCCATGTAACCTAGTGTCTCATCTGTGTGGACAGGGGCCATTACAAGCTCGACAACATCTTTCAGGGTCATGAGAACCTCCCATGCTTTGTCATCTTCGGGCACTCTGTCACCAATCATAAAAGGTAACATTCTCAACAGGCACCAATTTTCGTGTGCATTGCCTCCTACACTCTTGCGTGATGCAAAATTTGGGGGAATAGGTTGTGGGCTGTTTGTTTTGTCACTCCACTGGTAAGGAAACTGATGTATGGAATGGTTTAGCTCCTGAAGAGAGAAGTATTTTTTCTTTACAAACACATCAAGACAGAGTGCTATTTCTAGAGGCACGATCCCTTCAAGCAAATCATGCAAAGCATCAGGGGGATAACCAGATGTAGCATGAAAGTAACTCAAGCTGTCAGAGATGGGGCACTGTCTTTTTACTCCAAAAACATGGGCATCTTCAGGGTTAGCTAATGCAGCTGTAACATGCATGGTATAGTCTATCTTCGTCCGCAGAGCAAATAATCCTTCTCCTACTTCGTGCTCCTGGATCTGTGCACGTTCTCCAACACAAAAACGGCAGAAGTGTGAGGCAGAAAAGCTTTCAACAAACCCACCTATTGAGTGAGCTCCAAGATTGTCAGCAACTACAGCAAATACAGTTCCCTTGACCACTTTGCCCAGGCTTGGCACGAAAATGCCATTGTCTTCAAAGGATTTCAAATCTCTAAGGAGGGGTTCCAACACCTTTGTGTATCCATATTGTTTCACGTCATCTGCCTTACAAAGAAGGGCTAGGTAAATGGAAGTTAGAGTAGATCGTAAGGTAGCAGGGATGTCTGCAAACACCCAGTAGATGGCTGTGACTTTATGTTTCTTCCGGGACGTTCCCAGAGGGTTGCATATTTCAAAGTCATCTATATAAAGAATAAGTGGTAGTTTAACTTCATCTCCACAAAAAAAGCTGTTATCTCTTAGGAAAGATCCATCATGCAGTGATCTGTATCCAGAGGAAACATCAGTTGACCTACTGTGTAATATTGTGTCTTGAATGTGTCTGTTGTTCACAAGTTGAGACAATAATGGAAGAATTGGTATGTATTGGAATGTTTTCTTTCCACTCTCAAGTATGTACTCAACTGGCTCAGTTAATGAAAGATGCTCTGAAAAATTGCTCTCTTCTATACTGAGTGCTTAAAGGTCCATCCACCCGTAATGCAGCACAGAAGGGGTTTAGCTGGCAAAGATCTTTTACCAGATCTGAAATCACAGCATCTTCAATAGAACAACCATGCTTCCTCAAAGTGGTCACTATAATTTCTTTAATAACTGGGCTAGAAACAGATCCAGTAAGGAAGTGAAGTTCATCGGCAAGTTCATTTATGCATGTATGAGACGCATTGAAAATGCATTCCAATTTAAGAAGGAGCAATCCCAGTCTCTTGATAATAGTTTTGTTCAAGTCCTGACCGTCACCAAGGACAGGCTCACAGTAGTCTTCACTTTCAACACTGTTTGTTTCATCATTAGTTTGGCTTTGGTATGCATGAAAAACAGCAGTCTTAAAATCTTCTACTGAATGTGGGTTATGTTTCCTGCTCTTGTGACTATGGAATGTTGTGTATACATTTGTTTTGTAATTACAGCCTTTAAAAACACAAGGCACGGTTTCAAATTTTTTAAGATGACCACCAAGGTGCTCAAAATATTGCTTTTCAGTGTCAAAACAGCATGAACTGCACACTAGGCATGTGAAGGAAAGGAGCTGGCCAGGTTTGGTTGTCTGTGGGTGATACCTGCACAAATGTGTCCGTAATGCACCCCATGTCCTAAAAGTGCAAGCGCAATCAGAATGGAGACAAAGTATGGATTGGTTTCGACCAAAATGCCCGTGTTGTAATCTATTATGTTTCAATAGGTCCAATCTTTTTGTTTAACTTAAGTTACATATTTTGCATAACCAGTTCATTTTGATGAAGGCAGCATTCCCATAACACTCAGTTTAGGCCACACAAGGTCTTGATATTTTTTTCTACACTATACCCAAAAGCTGCAGATGGATGCATCTGAATCACTGAACAGACTGACTGGTAGTCCAGGAGTTCACAACTGGCGATGGGTATTGGTGAATAGTGAATCTTCAGCTCAAAAAACACAGAAGATGTGACCTGTGAGGTGGGCAGAGGAGTGAAAGAGAGATTCACCAAATTTAGAATGAAACAGTAGCAAATAAAATATAATAAAAACATCAGATGTGAGACATATTGAGCACAAGGAAAAACGTAACAACACAGGCTTGTGGTCCTTGTTTGCATTGTAGAAGTTTTTTTTTAATTAATAAACCGATCTTGCATAACATATCTACACAACACTGGTTTAGATAAACAAGTTTTTCTCCCTTTGTCACCGGGAGTGACGTGAACGTGTTTGGGACAACGATTTTACGTCCCGTGATCGTTACACTGCACCGTGACTAGCTGAAACTCAAATAGAGGCGAAATGCTTTATATTATGCCGTGTGGACCGCGGGGAAAAGCCGCTAGCTAACCGGCTAACGGTTAGTGGGCAACACTTAGGGAGGACACAACAGTTTAGCTCAGCAAGCAGTGTAAACGACTAGTGAGAAGACCAGACTGTGATGTGACGACGATACTAGGTGCTTTGGCAATAAGTTTAATGTTTTAATACGATTGTTCGTTACGAATTAACGTTACTCAATGGGGAGCAACTCATACGTATTGCATCCTCCCCTAAGGTAACTCGAAACATTTTTTCGTCTTTTTACAGCAAAGTCATGCAAATAAATACTGAATTTGGCCTGATAAAACCGCGTGTTTTGTTATAAAAGAATGCGGTTCACTTGCTCGGAATCGGCGACATTACAAATTATCGGCGCCAACGAGTTAACTCTCATGCGGACTTAGGTGACTAGTGGTAACATTTGCGTTTTATTTTGCAAGCCATGTTGGCTTTGTTAAATGAATGCAGCTCAAATTTGGCACAGGACATTTATTTTATAAAAACTTAATTGTGGTGTAACTTCCTTAAATTTGCTTAAAATGGCTGAAAGAAAAAAATACTCACACATATGTATCTAGAGTACTGTTACGGACCATGGAAACCCATTAAAAATGCTTTTTTGATGCCAAATACATCCTATCATGTCATATTTCAATGCCCTGAAGCCATACACCATTTTAAACTAGAGGGTCTCAAAATGCAATTTTAGTAGTTGACCACCAGATGGTGACGTGAGCACATTTTGAAACCGTGCATGCAAATTCATCCAAATTTCACTCTTTTTCCACAGTTTTTGCAAGGATGACTTGCAGAAAGACTGAAAATGATAAAGTGTGCATCACTATTGTGTGTGTTATCAATATGATTTATGTGTGTGTGTGTGTGTGTGTGTGTGTGTGTTTGCATTCACGTAACGGTGTTCGCGCGTGCGCTCGTACGAACGTTGTTCTAGCTGCATAAAACCAACCGTGTGTGCTGTCCTCGATACACGCCTACTTTCGTGACACTAGACAGCCAGCGAACAAATAAAAGGTTGAAGCTCCACACAAGGCTTGCTTTTCTTGTTTTATGGAGTTTATCCTTATATTATACTTGTAACTGTAAACAGATAACATGGAAAAACAAATTAGCATACATGACGTTACTACGTCAAACATCAACCCAGCTGCATTAGCACCACAACACGTAAAATGACAGCAATCTACAACAGAAAGAGCTTACTTAACACAGCACCACTTACAAAGACATAGAATTCCACAAGGACAAGCACTAGGTGAAGAATGATGAGTCTAAGAAATGTTTGGAAATACTGAGAAACTGTTAACTTCTTCCTTCAACAAAGACGTCCAAGATATTCTAACTCTGGTGAGAGCTCTCACTCCTTATTCTTTCACAATCCCAGAGACACACAGCGTGAAGACCTCTCACTCTGATGAGTTTTTCCAAACCAAGATTCTAACTATTGTATTTGTGCTTTTAACTATGAACTGTTCTAACTTATTTAACTTATATCTTAACCAATATGGGTGTGTCTGTGTCCAACGTCATAGGTTTTTTTTTGTCTTAGAAAGTCATATTCTGTGTTTTATAATTCAAGATCTAAAGCGAAACTAAGCAAATCATGGCTGACTCCGTTCGGCTCTTGTCTCCTCTCGTCTTTCGCTCGGCTCTGCTCGGATTTGCTCATGCGCACTCCATGCGTTGTTTGAGGAGGATCTTCATCAGAGAGGTGGGAGAACAATTGGTGACGCCCCACATAAAGAGCGTCTTCCCCGGGCATCATCAGCTGCAGAGCTAGTTATGGAACTGCAGGATGATGGTGCTGCTGCAGGCCCCGCTCAGAGGAGCAAACTCCAGGGCAGACGGAAGTGTTACATGTGCACAAGAAAGAGGGTTGCAAGCACCTGCTGTAAGTGCCAAAAGTTTATCAGCAGGACCACTCACTTTCCATTTGCAGCCTCTGCTCTGCTTGACCTGGACTGTAATACAGTGTTGTTGTAAATAAATGTTCTGGTTCAAACTAATCTTGTATTTTTTAAATTTATTTTTAGAACACAGCAGGGTAATATGAGTTTTTGACATTTTTAGAGCTGTTTTTATAAGGGGTTACCAATTTGCATTTAGGTACATATGTGTGGTAATGTTTTTAAAATCTGCCACTGCCAAAAATAAATAAATAAATAAAATGCATCAAAATCAGTGTTGCTACCAATCATTGACCCATCCCAGGGCCTAATAATAAAAATAATCAAATCCTGGTTGAAATGTATTTTTTGGAACTTATTGTCATTTTTCATATTAAAAAATATGGGGTTATGAAAACAAACTGGCATATAAAGGGTTAAAAATTCCAAAAATATAATTCATATTTGATATGTATATTTCAGGAACAAGTAGTTTTAAAAGATTGGAAAAAATATGAATTTATGACATTTTTAGAGCTGTTTCTATAAGGGGTTACCAATTTGCACTTAGGTACATATGTGTCGTAGTTTTTAAAGGAACCCATGAGGGTTAATGCTTATCTCGTCTTGTCCACAACTCGAAACACCATGCATCTAATTATGTTTACTAAGTTTTATAGCCCCTTATGCATTTAATCTTACGGTAAAACTCTTTCAAAAAGTGGAGACGGCGGCAATTCAAACTTTCGATACACTTTCTACATGTATGACATACTCTATTACACAGAAATACACCGAGTACAATTCTTGTAAGCCATCTTAACATTAAATAAGCTAACATTTGCATTCCTGACAAGATACGCAGCAACATGTTAAACAGGAGTTGTTACTTACATTCAAAGCGGCATCTCATTAATGGCGGGTGACGGGCACAGCTCACAGCAGCAGGTTAATGTCCATTGGCAGGTCCTGACGCATGCGCACATTGTGTCTGATAATTACCAATAGAATTCAGACACTTTCATTAACTTCTGTTGTGATGGCGGCACTAGACCATGAGATGACAATAGTGGTGTCCTCAGCTTGTGACATTTCTTTGATATCTGTCTAAATTTGTTTAGGCTTTGCCGTTTCTCGCAGGAATCTCTAGGCAGTGTAACTCTTTAGCAATAAAATCAGATAGTGAGGCACTCCCTCTGCTGCTAAGGTCTGAATTCACTGCGCCTTTGGTCGTCGTGACGTCAGCACTGACGTCATGGATCGAGGCCTCAGTGGCGTGCATGGGTTGCCTGGCAGCAGTTGCCACTCGAATATATACAATTTTGAAGCTAAACTTCACACTGAACTGTAACTCAAACAGCCTGCAGCACACCTGTCTTCATGTGGGCACCAATCTGGGGACATAACTCCAAAACTCAGACAAGTATGAGATTATCGGTGATGTCCGTGGAAAAGGCCTGCATATCGGTGTGGAAATGGTCAAAGACAGGGTTTTGAGTTTGCAACGGACATGACGCTCCCATCTTTCCACGTTTTCACAACGTGTCTGTGCTGTGCCTTCTGGTGGGGGCATGGTCCAGCAGCGTTCCAGTTAACCATTAGCTGGAGCAGCAGTGACCATCTGTAATTGTGACCACAACAATCTCATCTGAACTTCATGTACTACTGATTGAAGTTCGGATTTATTTCTTGCAGTGTTTATACTAGCAGGGGCGGCTGTGGCTCAGGAAGTAGAGCGGGTTGTTTCCTAACCGGAGGATTACCGGTTTGATTCCTGTCTTATCCAGTCAATATGTCGAAGTGTCCAAGACACTGAACCCCCAGTTGCTCCCGGTGATAACACCGGTGTGTGAATGTGAGTGCGAATGGCCAAGTAGCGTGAAGCACTTTGAGTGTGCTGCAATGCATAGAAAAGCACTATACAACTATAAGACCATTTATTGTATTACAAATGAAGAGAATGTTGTTTAATATTATTTCTTTGGGTCTCAAGCAATTATTTATATGAAACAGTCTGGAAAGTTCAGAGGGGAAACCACTCACTAAGTGTTTACAGGTATAAGTAGCATGAAATGGAAAATCTCACAATATAAGTATGCCAAAACTCTACTTAAATACAATACGTTTTCATGGTCATTCTGGCCACATTCCACTGCCTCTCACCAATGTAATGCTATGGTGACACAGTTGTCTACATCAAATATGCTATATAACAAAACAAACAAAACAAAAAAATAATAAAAAGTATGCAAATTGAACATACATATTTCAGTTAGAGCTGATTATCTACAGCCACAATGGGGATATCTTCTAAGATTGAATATTTGTAGCTGGTCTGTAGCCCTTTGCAACCTGAAAATAAAAGTAGTAGAAAAGCAGGACACTGTGAGGACATGCTGAGGCTGCGGCATTATGGGACAGTCATAAATACAGTAGGAGTACAATATACAGTAGGTCCCTCATCCCTGCACCCTCTGGTCACATCAGCTGGTTCGTCATGCTCACACAGAACGACACAGAACCTCAACAGAGCTTTTCTCATTTGCACAAAGAACTTGGACATGGACTCAGAGGTAAGGTTTGATATCTGCATGCTTTAAACCTAAATGACAAAATATTGCAGTCTATTACAGTCCTATTTTGAAATGTGAACAACCTTTTCGGCAAACAGATATGAATCTCCTACTGGCATGTGAAAGCCATTGCTTGTAAAAATCACTAAAACAGCTGCTTTTGTGATGCTGTACTTAAATTGTGTGATTAGTGATATTTTCACTTCATGCTCCTCTACTGAAACTAATAGCCTCACAGGTCGTTCTGGCCTTTGGAGTCCTGCCCTTGCGACAACAATCTGTTTGCTCACATGAATAAAGGATTAGCTGAAAGTTTAGTTGTTTGGGACTCAATGAGCCTGTGAATATTTATTTGGACAAGTACTAGATCAAGGACACATTGTGATGCAACCTGTCCTTCACTCCTTAGAAACAAGATTACAATAGGTCATATTATTTACCTCATATCAGATGTTGAGCTCTTAAGTTTTTTGTGTGTGAGCTCTCACTGTAATATTGCTGATGTACTGTATTATTACTCATGTAAAGGTGTAAGGATGTACATTAAAGAAATGCAAAAGTGAAGGAGATGCTATAGGAACCATTTTTATGTTAATATTATGGCAGGATATCTAACCTCAGTAGTTTTCTGGGAATTGATAAAATTGTGTTTATACTGTAAAATACAGAGTAAACTGCAAGCAGTGCTCAGGTTTGTAGTTTTCTTAAGTCTTTTTTTTTATGAAGAAAATTATATAAATGATCCTAAACTGTATTTTACCATATTATACTGCATTTTATTTAGGCACAGATATTCTATGGAGAGCTGTGTTAGTAACCAAAGTTGCTTTGTGTGACAGTTGTAGAAAAAACCTTCCATATCTAACACTTTACATACAGAGGATTGATTTGGAGGAGTCAAGATTTTGCTGATATGTGGAAATATCATCAGGAATCAAGTGCTAATACTCAGCATGATCCTAAATGAACTGGTCTTTGAGCAGTTGCACTGTAACTCAGTAAGACATAATGACAACCGCTTAGCTTTTTGTGAACATGGTATGTGTGTGAATATGGGTGATTATTCAGAGTTTATTCTGGTCTTCTTTAAAGAATGGATTGCATTATGTTAATGATGATTTTTTCCATGATGTTCTCATATGTTACTGCGTGTTTTGGCTGATCTTCAGGCAGTAATATAAGATGCCTTTGCTGATGCTTACAGGAAGCCCAGCGTTAAATTTTAAACAGGCCAAACAAGAGGGGAACATTTTGCTGCCAACAGGCTGGTCGCAACTGAACCATGAGAAAAAGATGAGGAAAAAAGCGCCAGGATGCTATATTAGACTTTGATATCAATTTTAAAATAGCATAATGTATAAAAAAAATTGAGCTCTATCTTCATTGTTTCTGTCACCCCTCATTTTCTGTCATTTCCTATGTCACACCTTTACAATTAAAATGCTTAAAATGCACAAAAAAGAGAGATTTTTTTGGAAATTGCTCTGTTTTCTTAAAGTAGTTGGTATAAAATCAGATTATACTCACCTGTCATGTCGCAGCATAATCACCTGAATTTTAATGTAAAAGGTTTCATTTGAAAGCTTCACTGAACTAAAGATGGCATCAAAGTCTAAAATGAATTTGTGATTTTGATAGAGGGCATCACACAGTTTGCAATAGTTTCACCACAAATTAACAGCAGGTCTGTTTGTTGTGGCTCTAATGAGCAGTTAGTAATTAGTTTGAAATGCACTTGCCTAATCAAAGATCAGTAATCCAATACCTTTGCTGTAATTTTGTGGGGAGGAGGGTGAGAGGATAGAGTTACTACATCCTTGTATTACAGACGCGCGCACACACATATACACACAAGCTTCCTTAAACACATAGTGTAGCTGATCAACACTCAGCGCAGGATGGATGTTTGCTGCCTGGGCTGCATGAATGTTTAACCAGTACAGTGTTTCCAGAGCCAGGTAGCTCATTACTGCTTCACTGCCTACAATGCAGAGAAGCCAGGCACACAGGAAGCAGCAGTGCCACCCTTCTCCTCCTCCTCCCCCTCCTCTTCTTCTTCAGCATTTCTTTCTCAGGCCAAGCTGGGGCTGCACCTAGCAAAGCTGAGCAGCAGATGAGAGAGTGGTGACAGTAGATTATTGGTTAAATATTTGTGCTGACTAAAGAGGCTCCACAATGGCATTGGCCCTCCTCAAGTAAACCTGTGTCTGAGTTGTATACCTGAGGACTGAAGTTCAAACTAATATGGATATATCTGGTTCATCTCTCCAGAGTGATTCAACCATGATGCACATGGCTTTGGAAGTTCAGGAGGTAATTATATTGACATGGCTTGTGTATCTTGGCTGTGTAATTGTGATTATAGCCAATATTTGTAAGTTCATTTATGTGATTGTGGCATCTTTCAAATTCATTCATTCATTTTTTTAGTTGTAGAAAAATTGACTATACAGGTGAAAATTCCTGTTTGTTTCTCATCCCATTCATATTAAGTACTGGCTTTGAAGCTGCACTCATCAGTATTTTTATATTAGCAATGAATCAAATTACTATGTGTAATGGTTAAAGGTGCCACTTGTATTCATTATCATTTGTACTCATTAATCACAGATAATAATCACCTGACCCTGCAGTAACCATGAGCTCCACAGTACATTTTTGCTTCTTTCTTCTCACTGTTTTGATTTTATGACCTACTACTCTCACCCCTTTGATGTTTTAAGTGAAATACCTCTGGTCAACCCATTGCACACTACTGCTCAGCACCAAAATCAGAAAAAGTTACTGATCTAGCTGGTGAACTACAGTAGCTAAGTGTTAAGCCATTAAAGTGCCCTCATAACAGAGCTAATAGGAGACTGGAATAGCGAGGTGTTCCAAATGAATGATAATGTTGCTTGGTGTATGGTGGATGTGGAACTGGTTTACAACAAGTTTCTATTGTGATAATGTGACTGTTGTGTTTTCAGTGTGTTTCACTGCCCCCAAGTGGCCGATAAAGAAATAATGCTGCTCTAAATAAAAACTTGACTTTACTGTGCAGAATAAAAATATTATTTATGCTTTACCATTCAGAAATTCAACATTTTTGGCAAACAGATTAGTCAGTTCACAGTATATTTGCTAGTATGAAACAGAGGAGGTAATCTACTTGACTAGTGTGATGGAGACCTGTTGACAGTCAGGTTTCTCCAGACACCTGGAGCCCCCTAAATGTGTGTTGTCCTGGGTGGTGTTGGTCAGTGGCCCTGGAGGAGTGCTATCTCTTTCAGCAGCCTAAATGCCACTTTGTGGCTGGGTAACGGGATCCTGCTCCATACTGGTCAGACAGAGACAACCGAGCACCCTCTTGGGTGATGGTCTAGGGGTCAGATAGACTTTCCTGTTTTGCTATAACCTGACAACAACATTTTTTTTTTTTTACTGTAGTTGCTCATTTCAGATTTTTGTGTGCTAACAGCATTTTGTTCATGTATGTTCATATCTTTGTTTCTCCACTGTCCAATTTGCATCAAATGAAAGTGTTGTCAATAAAAGCCACCTCTTGTTTTGCAGCTCTTTGCTTTGGCAAAATTGTCCACCCTCTTACAGCACAGTGTGTGTTCACCAGATGTCACATGTTCCTTGAATGGCAAAAACTCTCTGCCTTTCAACCAGTGCCCAACCAATAAGCTGCTCACACACAGAGTGCCAACAACAGGGCAGAGTGTCTGAGAGAGCCCTGGCAACTTTACATTTCATTGTAGACTCTTATCAACCAAACTCAGTTACTAAAAGAACAGTTGGCAAGTCATGCAGCTGTTTTACACATAGTCAGTGTTGATGAAATTCCCACGCCATCAACAAATCAACATTTTAAGTTTGGCTGAGAAATTAGATACAGTATCAACATGGGGGTTCATATCATCTTAAGCCAGTAAATAATGCACGTCAGTTCTTAAGAAGCACGTTTTAATTTGATTTCTAAAGTTAAAGAATGGCTACCATTTGTTGGTGTTTTCTCACCTGTGGACAAACAAGCAGTTCTCTTTTATTTTGTTCTTTTTTGGCCCACTGTACATACTATATAGAGAGTCTTATTTAATTATGAGTTTTCTAAAATGAATGTCTCTTATGTTATAAAATGCAATGAGTGTCAAATCTACACTCATGGGCCATGTTATTAGGAACACCTGTACAATTGCATGTACTTTAATGCAACACTTCTACCTCAACATCTGTGTTTATGAAGCTCAAAGTTTCAGTTTTTAGTGAAGTTGTCATAAATGTATAAATTCTATTATATCTTTATTATTGAGACTGTAGTTAAAGGTGGCATTGTATTGGACTACATTATATTTAGAAGTGTTCCTAATATTCTGACCCTTTCATGTATGTAGCTTGTGAGGACAAAACTATAAAAACACCTCTGAATTATAAAATAATAATTTAATAATAATACAAATAATTTGATGAGGAAGACAAAAAGGTGAAAGTCAAAACATTATTTGATATACAAATAAAGAGTTTGAAAAAAGAAATCTTATTCAGTAAATTATGAAAGTAATTAAAGACCTTTACACAAACTTATTGTGTTCAGGGAATATCTAATTTATCTGTACAAAAACAAACAGACATTTGACATTTGCATCCTTTGTTGTGGAATCATTACATTATTAATGGTTTCCTATTGAAGGAAGCTGAGACTGCAATCTATCAGTTTTCTGTTTCCTGTCATACTACTGCCTTTTCCCTTAAATAAAACCAGATGCTCAGGTATTGAGACACATATCAGGGTCCTTCAGGGTAGGTAACACTTTGCATCTTTTTACCTGTGGAACATTTAAATGATCCCATGTGAGTTTCAGGACATACGTTATTGGGACATTTTGCTGTGTCAGTAGAGCAGCGCTTGTTTTGCTGGAGTACAATCTGTGAGTGTCAGTTACTCCAAACTGGTGACAGGTCAACTTGGCAGCAATGAGAACCAAACTAATGATGCTTATTACTGTACTGAATTTCATAGCACCACAATTAAAGTGCATTGTTGTAACTGCTTATTTTACCTGATACTTATTCAGTTACATTTTAAGGAGCAGAACTTATCCTGTGTTTTTGCATATTATAATGGATGCACTTACTCTGTATTTTACTTGGTTAAGGTCATATTTGTGTAAGTTATTGCTGAATCATGTTACACTTGGACTTTATGAACATGACTGATGGCTCTTTTAAAAACACTGAAGCTGATTAGATAGTGGTGGCTGAATTTAGAGTTGTCATGAGAATATAGGATGTAGCCATGGCCATTAACAGCTCTGACTGGAAGGCATAAATATAAGGACAAACAGGCAGGAAATGAATTTTATATCCTAGGTTCTCCATAACTGAGAGATCATGTCTGTATAGATTCTTGAATGACAACCACAGTAACGACAGATAGCATTTGAAGAAAACAAATACATCAGAAAAGGATGGGATATTTAGGTCTGGCCAGATCTAAGCCAAAAGTACCACCTTTGTAGATTTTGTTGGAGAAATTAATAGATTTTAAAACTTGCATAAAGTGCACAAGCAGCTTTGTCAGCGAATTACTTTGCACTAATGTGTTCCTGCTTGGGCACAGAGCCTGGAGGAGCGGTGCAACCGGATCCTGAGGAACATGGAGGCCTCTCTGACAACCCGAGATCGTGTGGGGATCCAAGATTTTGTTCTCCTGGACGCCTACACAAGTGAGAGTGCCTTCCTGGACAACCTGAGGAAACGGTTTTATGAGAATCTCATTTATGTGAGTGTTTCCTTGTGATATCATTTAGGATAACCTTGCACTCATTCTCTCTTGTTGTAATTAAACTTCACGCCCTCCACCTTCAACCCAACAAGGCCCTAATGCTGTGTTGCTTTTTGCTGAATCTGGTGCTTTGTCTTGCTGAAACAGCAGCTCCTGTTATTTCATTTGCAGAGTGAGCAATCTAAAGGTCACCACTGTCTGAGAGGTCATGACAAGTGATTAACCAAACTTATTGCTTTCGATAAGAGGAAGAAAATTACTTATCAGTGGAATGATGCTTACACACCACACTGCTGGATGCCTTTTTAAATGTCATGTAGCTTTTGCGAAAAGGCAATGTTATTTATTATCAAATGTGCAAGAGCATCAGACTTTAACTTCCTTTCTCTGTCCTTCTCTGCAGACCTATATTGGAACCCTCGTGGTGTCAGTCAACCCGTATAAAGACCTAAACATCTACAGCCAGGAGCAAATGGATACGTACATGGGAGTTAACTTTTTTGAGCTGCCTCCTCATATGTGGGTTAAAGTGGGTTCTATGAGTGGGGCTTTTTTATGTGATTAGTTCTCAAATAAGATTAATATTTATTATTATTGTTTTGCCACAGTACAGAATAACTCTATGAATGGCTATGTTAGCTGGCCAGTCTACCACTTAGGTTCATGTTGGAATATCTCAATAACAATTGGATGGATAGCCTCCAAAATTTGTCTTGATGTATTAATGGTCCCCAGACCATGGCCTTTATTCTAGTGCCCCCAGTTGGTTACTATTTTTAGTTTTAAGTGAAATGTCTTGACAAGTATTGAGTGGGTTGCCATTTAATTTAGTTCAGACATGCGTATCCCCCTAAGGATGAACTGTAATAACTTTGGTGAGCCACTAATTCCAAGTCAAACCATTACTGGTTTATGACGATATACCTGTAATAACTCTGTGCTGTGTTAGGGATAAGGATAAAGCTATTGGATAAAACATCATCTTAAAATTAAGAGTATTGAAAGCTACAATGTATTCAGGACAAAGTTGTGGACACAAGTTGTCTGATATCTAAAAACTCTATGCAAAATCAGCCTGAATGTTAAATTGTTGCTCAGTTTAACCTACCACTGCTTTTTCAGCTATGCACTGGCAGACAATGTCTTCCGCACCATGCTGTCTGAGTTCAACAACCACTTCATCCTGATCTCAGGGGAGAGTGGATCCGGCAAGACAGAGGCCTCCAAAAAAATCCTGCAATTCTATGCTGTCAGCTGTCGAAGTACCAGACTTCTGAACAATGTTCGAGACAGGCTGCTTCTCTCCAATCCTGTGCTTGAGGTCAGTGACATGGCCATGTGCCAAAGCTTCTGCTGTGTCATTCTTAGAGAAAAACATGGTTTCATTGTCTTTTTTGTTTAAAATCTGCCAGGCTTTCGGAAATGCCAAAACTTTGAAGAATGACAACTCAAGCCGCTTTGGGAAATATATGGACATCCAATTCGACCACCAGGTGGACTGAAATATGTTCATCATGTTATATTACCGTACAAATGACAGTGTCAAGATACTATAACACAGCAGTACAATGGCCCCAAGGTTTATACTAAGCACTGACTAGGGTTTAAGAATGACCTTTCTCCATCAGGGTGGTGCAGTTGGTGGTCACATCCTCAGTTACCTGCTGGAGAAGTCCCGTGTGGTCCACCAGAACCGTGGAGAAAGAAACTTCCATATTTTCTACCAGCTGGTGGAGGGAGGAGAGGAAGAGCTTCTCCGTTGGCTTGGCCTAGAGAGGAACTGCCAGCACTACAGTTACCTGGTGCAGGTCAGTGGGGAAAAAACATTGAAATTATCTGGTTCAATAACTATCACTTGACTTAAACCTTTTTATTCCCTGTCCCCTCTAGGGGTGTTGTGCCAAAGTTAGTTCTATTAATGATAAAAGTGATTGGAAGACGGTGCAGAAAGCCCTCTCTGTCATAGAGTTCAGTCAGTGTGACACTGAGGTGAGGTTGGACAGCAAACCTTGCAATCCACTGAAGCAGAACAAAACTTTATTTAAAACTAAAGCATGATACTTTTTTCCGGAGATTAATAAGCAATTTTTCTCTCTTGGTGTGACGCAGCACCTGTTTGGAATTATTGCTAGTGTGCTCCACATGGGAAATATCAAGTTTGAAGCAGATGTTCAAGGATATGCCACTCTCAGCAACAACCAGGAGATGCAGTGGGTGTCAACGGTAAGACTAAAACAAACTGCAGACAGTTTAAACCGTCTGTCTCTTTCTGTGCAACTTTCTGATAAAGGCCAGGAGGAGATTTGTTGTTACATGTCTGGTTTTGCTGCGCAGTTGCTGGGGATTCCTGCACAGGTGCTACAACATGGCTTAACCCACAGGAAGATTGAAGCCAAAACAGAGGAGGTGACTTTATATTGAATGTAAAGTCTAAAATATATTTAACTTGTTTGTAGTGTCCATTTTAATTATCCACCTTATTCTGGTGCTATAGTTGTTCAGTCCGTTCTCTGTGGACCATGCAATGTATGCCAGGGATGCCCTTGCCAAAGCCATCTATGGTCGCACATTCAACTGGCTGGTCAACAAAATCAATGAATCTTTAGCTAACAAGGTGAGTAAATTAAACAATCTAGTCTCCTTCTGATCTTACCTGGCTGGAAACATTTCATTAATCTCAGGGAAATGGAGAGAAGATTGGTATAATGAAATTTTACCAAGCCTGAGGCAGCCATTCGATTAGCTGTGAGTCTGAAACAGCACATACAGCATTTTTTCCCTCCTTTAGACTAATGGTCTTTGGTTAAAAGCAGTAACAGGATATGAGCTTTAATTTTTCCAGGTAGATCTGGCTATATAAGACTATTCCCTATCTAATCTATAGCAGATTTTCCATGTGCAATTAAAAACCAGAAAATATGATTTGTGTAAATTATCTGCAGGATCCTTCCAGAAAGACAGTGATTGGTCTGCTTGACATCTATGGGTTTGAGGTTTTCAGTGTGAACAGGTGAGAGGTTATGCATTGATTTGCCAGCCTCAATAGCACTAAACATAAAATTCGATACTGACATTGCATGTGATTTATTTTAGTTTTGAGCAATTCTGCATCAACTACTGCAACGAGAAGCTGCAGCAGCTTTTCATCGAGCTGACCCTCAAATCAGAGCAGGAGGAGTACAAAATGGAAGGGATTGAAGTAAAACCATTATTATTCCTCCTATCTGCTTGACATTTGTGGCCCATAGCACTACTAATGTGTAACCACCAACATAATCCACTACTGTCTTTCTTGATCTTTTGTGCACAGTGGGAACCAGTGCCATATTTTAACAACAAGATCATCTGTAACCTTGTGGAGGAGAAATACAGAGGAATCATCTCACTACTGGTGAAGATGACTGAACGATAGTCCTACAGAAAGACAAGCAATACTCTGTAACAAAACTAATACGTAAGTAAATCCTTCATGTTTATCCTCTCACACAGGATGAGGAATGTTTACGGCCCGGAGAGGCCACAGATCTAACCTTCCTGGAAAAGATGGAGGAAAAGATTGGTCGCCATCCTCATTTTGTCACGTGAGTTCAAATCATATGATTTACATAAAGTGTCCGCTGTGTCACAAACACAGCAGTCAGACCTGTGAGTCACTTCAGCACACACTTCATTAACGTTTCCCTTCCCACAGACATAAACTTACTGACCAAAAGACAAGAAAAACACTGGAAAGAGGAGATTTCCGCCTGCTGCACTATGCTGGAGAGGTTACATACTGTGTAGTTGGTGAGAAATAATTTGAAGACTTTGTTTGCTCTATGTCCAATAAAAATTTGTGAGGATGTTTTTGTTTTAAATATGGTTTGTATGTCAAATAATGATGGATTTATTTATGTAAATTACGCTAAAGTTATTCTTTGGTTTGCAAACTCACAGGATTCTTGGACAAAAACAATGATCTCTTGTATCGGAATGGGAAAGAGGTAATTTAAATTAGGCTGAACACTAAAATTACAAAATCACTGCAAATAATGTAATTAATTATTTTATACAGTGCCCGTCACATACAGAAATCATGGATCTATATATATAGACTTGATATACACATGAAGGTAAACAAATTCAGTGACTACTGTGATGGGTGCTAATACATTTGACCTGTTTTTCCAAAGGTTATGCGACAGTCCAAAAATCCCATTATCCAGCTCTGTTTTCCTGCTACTGAACCAGACAGCAAGAAGAGACCTGAAACTGTAAGAAATGACTCAGATGATGATGTAGAGTGATTTCATATGGTAGAAAATGTACATAAAGCATTGTATCAACACTCATTTCCCATTTTCCCGTGACTCCTCAGGTGGTGACTCAGTTTAAGAGCAGTCTTGCAGGCTTGACTGAGATGTTGATGTCCAAAGAGCCCTGGTATGTCCGCTGCATTAAACCCAATGAAGCCAAGCAGCCAGGTGAGGCCTTGTTTTCTAACTGCCCCAAACCTACACTTCTACAGAAACATTAGTGCCTCCATCATAACTGCCCTCATCAAACTGATACTTACACTGTATGTTCAGCCTACGCTCATCTAGCACATGAAGTTAGACCAGGTGCTTTTGGCCCATGAGCTCTTAGCACTGTGGTGTCTCCTGCAGGACACTTTGATGATGTGTTGGTGAGACATCAGGTGAAGTACCTTGGGCTGATGGAGCACCTGAGGGTCAGGCGTGCTGGGTTTGCTTACCGCCGCAAATATGAAATATTCCTCCAGAGGTATCCAAACACAGAGACAATTTCATTGTTGTTGTTTTCAACCAAAAAAAAAAACAAATTACATTAGTTGATTTTTTTTTCAGAAGATATTTGGATTGGTCTAATTTTTGTCAAGGTGTCCTACACTGCTGCTGCTGTTGTTACCAACTATTATCACTGTATTTATCTGTGTATTGGTCTGTTGACAGGTATAAGCCTCTGTGTCCAGACACCTGGCCTAACTGGAAAGGCACGGCAGTAGAAGGTGTGCGGTGCCTGATCAAACACTTGGGCTATAAACCTGAAGAGTACAAGATGGGCAGGTAAGCAGATGTAACCAGATACATGTCAGAGAGTATAAGCTGGGTGCTGCTTCGCCTGGAAAGAAATACAAGATTGTTGTCTCACTATTCGTCTTTCTATCACAAGGACAAAAATTTTCATCCGCCACCCTAGAACTCTGTTTGCAACAGAAGATGCCTTTCAGGTCTGCAAACATAAATTAGGTGAGACAACACTCTATAAACTCAGTAAAGTGATACAGTAAATGTCACACACTTCCTAAAGAACAATTATTGGATGTTTTGGCTGCAGCAACAAGGATTCAATCCAAATACAAAGGCTATAGGGTGAAAGGAGACTTCCTGAAACAGAAACAGGCTGGTGAGTGATTAGTAGGCAACACATTGGTTTATAAGCACAAACTGAAATATGTTCCTTGAAAAAAATATTAAAATTCCCATATAACAAACATTTTAAGTTGATATTTTTGTTACATTGTTCTATTTAAACAGCCACTATGATTGAGAACTGCTGGAGGGGTCTGATGGCAAGGAAGGAGCGAGAAAAGAGGGAATGGGCTGTCAAGGCCATCAAGAAGTAAGTTAAAACAATGACATCTATTTTGAGGTTTAAAGAGATGAGAATGATGGCTGTAGGATAACAACCAAACAGTCTAATAGAGTCTGTGTTGTGTGGTTACCTGTTGATTTGTTCTAGGTTCATTAAAGGTTTCATGACCAGAAATCAGCCAACCTGTGTCGATAACAGCGAGTACCTGGCATATGTGAGGCAGAACTACCTCACACGCCTGAAGGAGAACCTTCCCAAAACGGTCCTGGAGAAAGACTTGTGGCCCACTGCTCCACCTGTACTGCAGGAGGTGGGAGACACATTTTATTCTTTTCACAAACTGCATGAGCAGACACAGTGGCAAGTTTAGTAATGGCTGCATTCTGTGAAGGAATCAAATCAAACACCTCACTTAGACTATATTTTCTGTAGACATCCCAACTCCTGAAGAAGCTCTACATTCGCCATATGGTACGGAAGTATGTTCGGGAAATCAGCCCACAGAGGAAAGCACAGGTGTTATCAGCTGATTTTTTTAGGCACACTAAAACCACGTTTTGTGCACTCACAACATTTTCAATCTACATTTAAGATCATACTGTTTTATTTTTGTCCCTGTTTTCAGCTTCAGTTAAAAGTACAAACAAGCTCCATGTTCAAGGGAAAAAAAGAAAACTACCCATCGAGTGTGTGCAGTCCGTTCCTGGACACCAGGATAGGTAAGACTGCAGACCTGTGTCCTTGTGGCTGAGTGTACTGACAGGAATATTGTGTTCAACCTTTTTTCTTTTGTGATACTGCATTCACAAGTACAGTACTGCATAATTACAAATGATAAAACAGAATAATTATGTATTACTGTATCCATTCTGTGTGAAATCTTTTCTCATTAATTGTCTGTGGTCTCTGTACTTTTATAAAGACGTAGAAGACATAAACATCAAAGTACTACAGCTAATTCAACATGAGCTCATCAAGGTAAATTAACATTGGAATTTACGCCTCCTGTACATTAATATCCCTTATATGCACTCTGACCTTGTGTATCTCCTGCCCACAGTACAGTGTGCCAGTGGTGAAGTATGACAGGAACGGGTTCAGGCCTCGTCTCCGGCAGCTTATCTTCACGCAGAAAACTGCCTACCTGGTTCAGGAGGCCAAGATCAAGCAGCAGATAAATTACAGCTCTCTGAAAGGTAATGAGTGAGACAATTATAACAAAATAAGAATCATTATTTCTAGGGAAAGCTTTACATACATTTAAAACTTGTTGAAACCCACACATTTCAAATTTTAAAGTGACTCTTCTTTCATAGGTGTGTCAGTCAGCAACCTGAGTGACAGCTTCCTGATCCTTCATGTTACATGTGATGACATCAAGCGAAAGGTGTAGTGGAGCTAGGAACAGACTGGTGTCCACAATAGAACAGCGCCAGTATTTTAAATGTTTTGTCTACCTTACTTTAAAAGCTGATGACATCATGATGACACACTCCATATGTCAGATACACTGGTTTGTTCTGATTTAGAAATTAGTCAGTGCATATGACTTCTGAATCGGACTAATGGCCTTTGTTCTCTCAGGGGGATCTGGTTCTACAGTGTGACTACCTGTTTGAGGCCTTGACCAAGCTCAGTGTTATTGCAAACAAGCAGAACTGCATCAAAGTGGTCCAGGGCAGGTAGATAATCTGGATTGTATGTAACAATAATTGAATTTAAAACTAGAATCTAAATGGCAAAAATCACAAGTGTTACTAATTCAATATAAAACTCTTGTTATGTGCAGTGTGCGATTTGACATCCAGCCCGGTCGAGAGGGGTTCGTGGACTTCAAGAGCGGTCAAGAGTCTATGGTCTACAGGGCCAAGAATGGTCATTTGATGGTGCTCAGTGTGAGTTCATGGATCGTGTTAAAACCATGTAAAGTTATTATTCAGGGTATATACAGTTCACCAAGCTCTTATATTTTGTTTTAGGAGTCGACAAGAACTAAGTCGAGATGATGATGCAGAGGATGTCGGTGGGGAGATGTTGCTCTTCTCAGCCTCAGACTCGACTCAACAGCCATGCTCTCTTATCCTACTCCATGGCTGTTGCCAATAACTTGTTTCATGTCAGCTGGTTTTTACTTTTAGCATCTCTATGACAGTGTTTTCCAGTGAAGTATATGCTATTATTACACAAGTACAGTACTGCCAATACCTTTAGTTGTGAGCAGAAAACATGCTCAAAGCAAAACCTAGCCAGAATATTAGTGGCGCTGTTCGTTCCTAATATTTGGAGTTTCAGTCAAATGTGAACAAAATAATTCCAGCTCAGATTGATGGACATAAAACATCCTTTATATACTGTATGTATTTACATTAAACATATCTGAAATGGTATCTAGAAATAGAAATAGAAAAATATGAGGTGTGTTGTAATGAATGTAATGGTGTTTATAATAGCTCACCCTTGCTGTACCTTTATATTAAAACAACGATGGACAACAACTTCATGTGCAAAGCATCTGTGTGTTTGAAATCAGTTCATGCAAACTCTACATAGAGAGGCCCTGATCGAGTGTGAGGTATGAACCCAGACCTTCTTGTTGTGAGGTGGCAGTGCTAACTACTACGTCGCCATTCGCCCCTTATTGAGTCTTTTCTCTGCACAACAGAATCCCTCTCAGTGCTGCCTCAATGACGGCATCACTGAAGGGAGCATTTTGCAGCATTACATTGTGAAGGAGCTTAATCCATAGCACACTCTGCTGGACGACACAAATATCTACACCAAAAGAAAACTGTATGGGCCTGTTGCTCTGTCACTTAGCTTAGCTGCAGGTCAGAGCAGGTCCGGCAATAGCGGGGGTATAAAAAGCATTGTAGCCATGTGCACAGGCTCCGCCAAACTGCAGCTAAACCGGCTATCTGAGCCACACAGTGCACATGTGTCAAAGAACCTCATCATCATGAAGCACTGGCAGCAGTTGTGTCAGGCCTACCAGCATGTAGTGGGGCAGAGGACTTATCATTGATATCTTTGTATCTGTGGTGCTTCACTGTTGCTGGTGTTATTGTGAACTGTATTATGTTGTGCAATATTTTGACTATTGTCATCAGTTCCACATTATTGTACCGTTAATACAAGTGACCGGTTACACCATGAGTAATGTTGTGTACATCATTACTGTATGCTCTACTACTGTATACTCTAATAAATCACCCTGTTTTTTCTGTCTAAAAACCTTGTTTTAACAGATGATAGCATGTTCATCATTTTCGTTCCTTTCTGGAGTATCAAAAATTTGTCAGATATACAGTATTAGCTGACACCATAGTAGGAATGGCTTTACTAATACCTTTATGATTATTTGTTTCTGTGACTTCTTCAAAAACCTATTTCTTTGAAGCGTGACACACATGTAAATGTGTACGTTTCAGTATGCTAACAGGCTGACCATCTCAGTGTAAAGACAGTGTTGTGATAGAATATCTTAATGTTAAATTAAATGCATATTATATATATCTCAATATTGTAAATAAATCTTATTTGTCAAGACAAATATTCTCTGCACATGAAGCTTGTTTGATTTAGCTAGCATCTCCATAATTGCATCTTGGTAAGTTGTATTTTTGTTAAGAAATAATATCTAAATATAATATAAGTTTCTTAAGCTCTAATATACAATCTAAAATGATAATAAATCTTGTAATTTAATTGGTTTTTCAATGGGAGATGGACAAAGGTGACAGTTGACCTGTGGTTGATTATTAAAGAGATGTTTGGCAACCCCCTCGATCAAAGGTCCTGGGTTTATCAAGCTAGTGAGTACCTGGAATGAGACTATACAAGCAGCCAGAGCACAAACTCTGGCTGACAACTTTACTCTGTCGCAATGGAAAACTTCACAACGCTAAGTTTTGTGCTTCTGGTTTCATGCATCCACAGTAGTTTAGGTGAGCAACCACACATTTCTAAATTGTTAAATTTTACATACACTGTGGTTCATAGCTGACATGGTGTACTGTCTTAGATGAAATGATCAGCATCATATCTAAGAGTACAGATGGCTTATTATACAGCTGCAAGATATTTAGTATTTTGGTATATTTGCAAAAAAGCTAAGTTTTAAAAAGTCAGAAGTGTGTATGTGTGTGTACTACTGTACAGAGACTCTTTAAATTAAAGCAATCACAAACCAGAAAACATAAATGTTAAAGAAGAGGCTAACTGAACTGAGAGGTGGAACATTATATAAAGACAAGCTGAAGTAAATGGGATAACAAAAAGTATCATTTAAAATGTTCATTAAAACATTTTAATTTTAAAATAAAAGTTAGTTTTATCAGTTAGTCAGTATCAGTATTTGTATGTTTCATTAAATACTAATTTAAGTCAGTGACCAAATAAATTTCTTCTTGATGTATTAATTTTAAAATAAAACCAGACTCAATACCTAAGACCTTTCTCTGCTTGTTTCAACAGGATATACATGTGAGGGAAACTGTGGGACAAAACTAGACACCTGTTCATGCCACCCAACGTGTAGGTCTCTAAAAAACTGCTGTACAGACTATAAAGAGTACTGTGTGGAAGTCTTTCCGTATTCTGGGTCTTTTTTTGGTGGGACAGATGTTACTATCCTTGATGCAAGTTTCAATAAGAGTTCCCAGATTGTATGCAGGTCAGACTTTCTTCTATATCTCAGTGTTTATATGCTCCTGAAGATGCTCAGATTATAGCTCTAATTTAATTGGTTATGCCATGTCTCAGCAGATAGTACATATTTACATTGAAAAAAAAAAAACACTAGGTTTTTCCAAATTTTCTTTTTTGCAAACTACAGTTTCCAAGGTGTTCTACTTGTGCTGCATTGAAATTTTACAGCTGAAGTACAGTATAGACACTTGATGATACTTCTTTTAAAATGGCAGGTTTAACAATAATACCAGCACTGTGGGGTATGTGGACGAAAGCAGCAGAGGCCATTGTATCTCCCCACTGTTGTATGAAACAGGATGGGTTCCTTTGCACGTCTCCTCAGATAATGGCACTACATTCAGCAGAGTTGGAGCCTGGCTTTCAGGTACAATAACTTTCATAAATTTTAATAATATATAATTTGGTGATGAAACAATGTTCACTCATGATTTATGTGATTCAAATACAGTGCATAGTGGCAAGTTAGATTCTCAGTTCAAGGCGATTCTCGTCAACGCGACAAAATGGCAGTATTATGGCACACCAAATGTTGGAGGAACTCTTGAGATGACATGGAACACCTCTTTGGTCAGAGCAGAGTTGGTCAATATAGAGCTCTGGGGATACAGGGAGACAGGTGAGTTCAACTGCAATGTACATACACTGTCACATGACTCTGTTAATAGGGTAATTTTATAAAACATCTCTCTGTAGGAGAGCCCTATTCAGACAGCTGGCAGGGTGAGTGGAAGTATTTGTACTCACTTGCAAGGGGTCAGCCCAACAGTGGTTCCTTTAGCTTTTTGCCCCAGCCAGCAGAGAACGGCTCTTCAAGCTGGGAGCTTGGCTCTGTGCGTGTCAGCCCCAGCACCTACCCTGATGGCATGTGGTGTGTACGAGCACTTTATATAACAAAATAATGATGCTGATATACTGAGAATGACATAAAGCCTCCAAATTCATTATATACTTGTATCTCCTGTGGGCAGCTGCATTTGTCATGTGTTACATTTAGGAATGTACAAGCTGCATGGACTGAGGATCACGCTCTAGCGTGGCATCTGGAGGACAGGTTCAGGCACAACTCAGCAGTCTGGGCCCTGGACAAATGTTTAGCATGGGACCAGCTGGAAAACCAACTGCCCAACTTCCTCAGTGAGATCATAGACTGCCCCTGTACTCTGGCTCAAGCAAGAGCAGACACGGGGAGGTTTCATGTGAGTATGAAGAGCAGTGCATTTAGATGTGGCTACACTACTTGAAATTTGTGTCCTGTGCACATAAAAGCAATCAGGTAGTTCAAATTACAGTCAAACAAAACCTGTGCTAGCTGATCTCAGCAGATACTCTTGCCGATAGTGTAAAGAATCAAAACAAAAACAAGGCAATGAGTCAAAAAAGTACAAAACAGTCCTCAATATAAAAATAAATGTAAAACATACTTGCAATATAAGATGTCTCAGCAGAGCAGAGAGGTCATTAGAGTATGGGGAGTTTATTTTATGAGCTTGATAAAATTACTTTATTGTTTATGGGGGTTGTCAGTGGCTGTAGCCTTTTGCTGATGCTGACTGCTTATCAGTTCAAAGTCAAGGACACGTGGTCTCTAATTATAGTATTTACAAGAACGCAATCTTTGCAAGCTGAACACATTTCAGCACAGGTTTTATTGCTTTGTATCTGAAAAATTTACAGTTAGGTTTAGACAAGTCATTACTGTGTTCCAGTGGCAAGTGACTGGCAATACAATGTTAAAAGTCAGTGTGTGCATCTAGTGGCTTAATGTATTGATGAGGATTCAGTGTTTGTTTAAAAACCTGAATCTGTCTTTGTCATCTAAATTGCAATTTATACATGAACACAGTGAAGTGCACATCTTGCTGCCTGGTCACAAACACTTTACCCTATCTCTGTCCTCAGACTGACTACGGCTGTGATATAGAGAAAGGGAGTGTGTGCACCTACCATCCAGGGACTGTTCACTGTGTGAGGGCTATACAGGCCAGGTGAGCCCTTGACTCAGAGATAGCTTGCTGTCACTATTGGGTGATATTATATTCATTATTTTACAAATGTCTTTACCTTGTTAGCACTGCATCTGCAACATACTGATAGTAAAAATCCTGCAGTGTCCCTCAATGAGCAAAAAGAAGAAGAAAGTATTTTCTAAACCCATTTCACAGTTGCTCTCCTAATTTATAAAGCACATGCAAAACACATTTGCTCATACAATATTTACATCTGTCAATCTTTATGAGCTTGATGTAGTTTTTGTTCAATTACCTTAATATTAACATATGCAGGGAAATAGGTTAGCATTTTGTTAATTCCAAAAAATAAAAATGTACTATTCATGCATGATTTGTGACAATTAATAAATATTTTTGCCAAAAACAGTGTTAGGTTTAGGACACAGGCCAATGAAAATGAAATGTCTTAGTATGTTCTTCCTTATACTGCTGTATGTGGCCTGCGGTTGCCTTTTAAAAAAAATCTGTATTCTTACCTAAAACTTTAATGATATGCCCCAACCACGTCATCCTGACAATAATATAAAATGACTGCACTGTTGTAAATTATATCAATATTATTGATTAACTGAGCATCAGTAAATTTTTTACTAGACACTAGTACTCTGTTTTCAGCCTCTAGGCGTGGCAGTTGCTCCACTACCTTGGTGGTGAATGAAATATCTCAACAACTGTTTGTAATGTTTTGGAAATCTATCAACAGTCCTAGGTATGCAGCAGGACAACAGTGTTGTTATGACAGCACCGGTGTTCAGGTCCTGACAGCGGACTCGATTGGGGGTAGCACTCCAGACCGAGCACACGACTGGGGCTCACCTCCCTACAAGAGACCTCCTCGAATACCTGGACAGTCCCACTGGGTCTATGATGTCCTCAGCTTCTACTACTGCTGCCTGTGGTCAGACAACTGCCACTACTACTTCAAACACCGGCGCTCCAGTGACTGCAGGCGTTACCAGCCCCCCAGCACTGGTAAGTGGATCATTACAAACGGAGCAGTTTGTATATTTCTGAAGATTATTATTTACAGTTCAGTCTTAATGTTTGTATGTAATGGCAGCTGTGGTGTTTGGAGATCCCCACTTCATAACATTTGACGGTGTCAGCTACTCCTTCAATGGCAAAGGGGAATACACTTTAGTTATGTCGGCGCAGAAACAGCTGACAATCCAAGGCAGAACAGAGCCTGTGAATGGTGAGCTACTGAAGGGACCGAGCTGGGAAGGGACTGCCATGAAACAGGATAACAAATACACGCTGCACGTGAACTGTTACTACAGTGCCTTTCCCTAGTGATCTGATTCTCTCCCTATTAGGAACCATGATAAATGCAACAAAGTTATCAGCAGTGGCCATGAAAGAAGCGTCCTCTGATGTTATTGAGGTGCGTCTGGTGAGCGGTCACCACGGCCTTGAAGTGCTGCAGAATCAAAAAACCCTCTCCTTTACTGAGCAGAGCTGGATGGACCTGCATGGTGAGGCTCTGATTCACCTTGCCCCTGAGGTGCTGATTTTACTAGTCTTGATGAAATGCTGTAAAATACCTTCCATTTGTTCTAGAGTGAATATGAATTTGGACACAGTCTGCACATTTGTTTTCCTTCTCTGTGGTCAACCACTGGATTTGTGGCAAGACAGTGCAAAGAGAATAGAAACAGCAACAAAACATGTGACTGCAAAAACAAAAAAGTTATTTGCAAACCAGATATCTGAATGTTTTCTGACAGCAGTACAGCTCAGCAGAGTAGTGTTCTGCCCTAACACAAGGTTTTGTTGTCATCTTAAAACCCCTGAAAACATGACTTCAAATCGTAAGCATTTCTTGATAAAATTACTCTGCTGTATTAAAATGTAATATTACATCATTTAGGTGTTTAATAGATGTATAATTATAGGTTATATATGGGTTATATTACATTACAAACACTACTATTCACACTTTATGGTTAGATATATGGAATAACAGTATGTAAAGATGGTAAAATTATCTTCATGTTGACCAACAACTGTAAAATACTGTTTACACATGTAGTAAATGAATCAATTAGAATATTTCTGTATTAATAAAGTACTCAGGGCCCATTTTTCTGCATGAGTACTTCTGAAAATTTAAGTACATTCTCTTTACTCATTCTTCATTAAAATCTTAAATGCAGGACTTTACTTATAATAAGAGTATATACACTGTTGTACTGCTGCTTCTACTAAAGTAAAGGATCTGAACACTTCTTCAGCCACCACAGAAATGTGACATAAGCAAAAGAGTTTGAAATTTGGCAGAATACCTTGTATCACATAGCATCCCATTGCTTATTGTCAGGAGCCGAAAATGCATTTGGGCTTTCACAGCAAAGTCTCAACTTGATGACATGATGTCTGTTGCTCTAAACACATCTCTTTTGTAGGCGTGTTTGTGTTTTCCCCTACCTCTACAAATGTAACTGTGATGTTCCCCACTGGTGCTGGGGTTGAAGTGCGACTGAGGGGAGGAACCATGACAACCACTGTGCTCCTGCCGGAGGAGTTTAACAACTCCACGATCGGACTGTTGGGAAAGATGAATGGTGACGCCAGAGACGACCTTGTCCTCAGCAACGGAGAACTTGTGAAGAACTATAGCAATCCAGAGGAGGTGTTTAGATTTGGGGCAAGCTGTAAGAAACAAGTGAAACTGCAGATTACTTTTCTAAATTTATGTGACGTTTTCATCTCAGCCTGTGTGTTATACCCTGTACAACCAGAGATGGTAGACTAACTAATGATTGTAGGTTAATAAATCAGCTTTAGTTGAGGCTACCATCAACTTTACCACTATAGTAAAGTCCTGGTAAAAAGAAAGAAAGAAAGAAAACTACAGTAATAAACTGAATTTTGACACACAATACCAGTCACCACACTGAAGGTCCTTTCACCACACTGTTATAGTGCTTCCTGTTTTTGGGTCATGGCCCCTTAATGTTAACATTTCATGATGGGAAAACAACTTGTTGTCTTTTCATGCACAGAACAGGTATACGTATTTCAGCAGATAATGATGTCGCATTTTTAATTATATTTCAACACTTTTAGTGGTGTGAGCTGTTGTGTAACAGTATCTTTATTTTTGTGTTACAGGGGGTGTGTCCAATGACTCTGCCTTATTCACATATGACTCAGAATATCTTTTGGACACATATTACCATGCTCCTGGACATGTGGACAGTTTTATTCCAGTGTTTTTTGTCCCTGAGAGTCCAGATGATCCCTTAGCCAATCAAGCATCTGAGATATGCTCTGGAGAGGGCTCTGAGTTCTGTAGGTACGAGATCTATCATTTGTTATAACTCATTGTAATAATGAAGGAAAAATAACTTAAAAAAATAAGAGGATTACATACAGTTATGTGTTTTAGGAAGTAGAGCGCAATGGAATAATTGATTAGTCAATCAACAGAAAATACTCATAGGGGAAATGTAGGTTACAGGGCTTTTAAAACTTGATCAAATTAGGGAGTAAAAGTCATCACATATTGGGTTTATGGAATGTTATGGAAATACAGGTGAATTCAGTTGTCAGGGAAATTATTTTACTATTTCCTCTGTACTGTAGATATGATATCTTGGTAGGCCGAAGTCCAATAATGGGAAATGCTACCAGAGTGTCTTTCCAGAGTCACATCTCTCTGGTTGATGATCTACAGCCAGGTGTGTGTATATTATGAAAAATGTCCAGTGATTATTATGTACGTATGAGAGTTACATGGTTTCATAGTGTAAGTTGCTGTCACACTGTACAGTGATATCCTGTGGATGGCTTCCACCACCAAGCAATGGCAAGAAAGAGGGGACCACTTATTTGCAAGGAGCTAAGGTGCGATTTTCCTGTGAAGACGGCTATGCTCTTAAAGGATCAGCAGACCGCATATGCCAGAAGAATGGCCAATGGTCTGGAGAAGAGACAAGCTGCGTGGTTTCCAGTAGGAATAAATTATGAAATTATGCTACAATTTTAGCTGTGTGATTCTGGTTAGGGACCTTTGTTGTATCTCCTCTCAAAATCCTTTCTGAATCTATCTAAGATAAAATAAATACATTCTGTCAAACCCATTTAAAGCTACAGTATGTAACGTGTTTCAACTATTTTTGTTGTGGAAATATGCTCCAAAACTTAATGTCTTAATGTGGAGAGGTTCTGTTGTAGCCTCCTGTGACCCAGACTCAGTGAACAGCACTGGCAGCAGTGCAGAGATGTTAACCTCTCTAGTCAATCAGAGATGTTCAGTTATTTCTGCTTATTTAGTGCATTTTGTTGCATTCTCATCAATTATAATTTCCTAATGAAGAGCTGGGCAGAGCTGGGCAGAGCATGGTGGAGCAATGCAGATCGTAGCAGAGTGGCTTGATTAGTAGCTTCATGTTAGTACTACCCTAAGTTACATACTGTAGCTTTAATTTCAATAAATGGCCCTGATTCTGGTTTAAACATCTTTGTTTAACATATTTCAGGTAATCTTGCAGGAATTTTGGCTGGTTCCTTAATTGGTGCTGTAACACTAACTCTAATTATAACAGCAATTGTACTCTACTCCAGAAAACAGAAAAGGTGCGGTATAATTTCTTCTGTTGTTTATTTTTAAGATGTCATTTCTAATATGAATGAATTCATTTGCCTAATATGAAGAGTGTTTGACAGACAGACTATGTATTATAGTTTCTTGCTATGAGATAAATGTAATATTTTTCTCTGTGCTGTTTTTTTACATTTCAGAAAAGCTGCACGTTCAGAGGAAGCAGTGACAATTGAAGATTTGTAACCACATTTCTTGCTTTATTGTCATATTGTGTATGTTCACAACTTCACATGTGGAAATGGAAAATGTTTCAAATGGATACATGCATAAATATGTGCTTATATAATGCAAAAAAGATATCTCATTTTACCTGTAAACTTTGTAAACCACAGCCATGATCCCTGGCTACAGTACTGTATGTGGTAAGGATGAGCAAAGGTCCCTGCACAGCTAAATAGTAAATACACAGTACATCTTACATGGCAAAAGGTACTGATTTATTTATAGATTATCTTTTTACCATGTGTAGCAGTTGTAACTACACCTACCGTTAGTGTGCAGCATTCTGTGTTAAAAACTTTAGGCTTACTGTAATGAAAAAACACTGTGTTGATGAAGGTTTGTTGGTTCATGCTGATCAAACCAATGAGAACAAATTGCTATCTGCAAACACTGCATTATTAGTAATGTCATAGACTGCCCTGTGAGAGGCAAAATGTCTGTTTATCAGAACTGCAAACTACTTGCAAATATCTGAAATGTCTCAGTCTTGGGTTTGGAAACTGGAAATAACTCTGTTGTTTACTATGTGACTTTGAATACACTGTACATGTTGTTCCCTCACATGACCCAAAGCTGTGAACTCTATGGACAAAGAGCACCAGTATGTGACAAGACTGTAAAGGCCTCTGCTGAATAAACTGTCTGCTTGTTGCTCCCAGAGTCATTCAACAACAACAACTTGCCACTGACACTCCAGAGGTATAAATACAAATGATTAGCATTATCCTCTCCAGGTCCCAGGGCAACGGAGGAGTAACACTACAGCTCATGACATATCAAGTCACTGTTGCCCCTTAGATCACACTCACTGCCAGACAAGTGTTAAAATGATTGGCTGGCTATATAAAGTTTGGAGTGGAGCATTACAGATGCCAAAACAGCCATTTCCTCAGACCTCCTGCTCACTTTCTGTTTGCACTGGAGAATAAAGATTCTGATGCCCTATTGTTTAGTCTCCAGGTCATCATTCTAGACTTATTTTGTCAGGGTGGAGGCTTTGCAGTTTCAACATCCCTTTCTTTCCTTTTGAACTTATTTTCCTGGATATGGGTGAACCAAATAAAATATTACAGCGTCCCATTTTTCACAGAGACATGAATTGGGATCCCTTCCCAAACTGGACACAGCCGAATCGCGTCTTTGCGCAGGATTTTGGCCTCCCTCCTTTCCTGGAGCCTGTTGATCTGGAATGGATTGACTGGGCGAAGAGGAGACTGGCATCTTTGTCCTGGCCGGGGCTCACACAAACACCCCCTCTGCCGCTATTCAGTGACCAGCACTCTGATACACTGAACCAAAGGGGTCTGAGACAACGGACAGGTGGAGTGTCAGAGATCCAAACTGGACAGGACAGCTGGAAGATTAACCTGAATGTCAATCACTTCTCACCTGAGGAAATCACAGTCACTACCAAGGAGGGCTACCTGCAAATATCAGGTATATGCTTCTTTGACTGACCACAAGCTAAATTAGAGATGAGCTATATGATGACAAGTTGCAAATGTACTGCACTGTATTTGTGCTGTGTAATTTATAAATTGTACACAGTTTTTAAAAATAATTTCTATTTAGGGAAACATGAAGAAAGGCAAGATAAGCACGGACTGGTTTCAAGATGCTTCACTCGGAAATATAAGTAGGTTGTCTCTGGAAATATGAAGGATTTTGATAAATAAATATGTTTTACATCACTGGGTGATCTTATGTCATTGCATTGTATTGTATAAGCAAACCTACGACATGCACAAATACTGAAGGTACAACAAGAGGTCGGTAAAAACAAAATGATAAGGTACAGTATTCTGCAGCAACAGAAGGCAAATTGGTCTGTCAACAGAAAGATGTGCATACTCTAGTTTTCTTGAGTTGGTGTGTTGTTGATAAACGTCTTCATTTGTTCAAGGATGCCACAGGGGGTGGATTTGCAACACATCAGTTCATCGCTGTCTGATGGCGTCCTGTCTGTTGAGGCTCCTGTCTCTGGCACCTCCATCGGCGACCTGACCAATGAGATTGTCATACCTGTTCAGATCCAACAGGCGCAGGATGGTGAAAAGTGAAACCAGTGGGCAGAACTTGAAATTACAATGAGGTGTAGGCCTTTGTAGCACTGACATAAACTAGTTTTAAGAGCATTATAAGTCAAATTTTACTGTAACAAGCTTGTTTTCCTGCCAAGTGATACTGATTAATGTTGTAATTCACTGTCACTAGTACAGTACCATGTCATGATCGCCCCCTTGTCCTGTAGAAGGTCAGGGGAACTAGGAGATGGTGGTGGCAGGCTGGGTGTCTGGAGCCAATGCTAACCAACACTGGGCAAGAGGCGGGGTACACCCTGGACAAGCTGCCAGTCTTTCACAGGGCTGACACTTAGAGCCAGGCTGCTCACAACTACGAGCAAATTAGAGTCAGCCATTAACCTAACCTGCATGTTTTTGGACTGTGGAAGGAAGCTGGACTACCCGGAGGAAAACCACATGGTGTTCTGAAAGCGTGTGTCACATTTGCTTTTGGTTTTGATGCAAACTCATTCATGTAAAAGGGAACTGTGATCTACCACAGACACTACTACAAGTTGACAGTAATTATCCAAGAGAATGGCACAGAAAAAAATGTATCAGCTAACCAGAGGATTCTGCAGAACAGATATAACATTACAGCCTAACAATATCTGCCATGTAAAGAAAAAAATATGTAATTTGCTCCTTTAACATCTTTCATTAATGATCTATATATTAGCAGATTAGTAGGAATCAGTTTAATCTGTATTATTTGTTCATCTATTTTCTGATTTACTGTAAATTTTGTCAATTATTTCCTCTTTATAAAACTGTTTTGTTTATAGTATTTAAGTTTGAGTTTATTTATTCATGTATAACATCATCAACAGTTTATTTCAGTGACCATATAATTAGCACTCACTATCAGTTACAGAGTAAAATTACACTTTCACTTTTATTTGCAAATGCAGTGGTGAAAGGCAGAGGCCACTGAGTGAAAGTCTGCTGCGGGTCTGATCTGATGAAAGCCAAATCACTCAAAAGTGAATAGTGACATCTAGTGTTTGAATAGACTGTTATATGGCAACATAAACAAGTCACTGAGTCTATTCTACAAGTAAATGACATCACATGGATTGATGCAATAACCCTTGAAAATAGAAACAAAACTGTAAAACACAGAAGACTTTGTTTAGACAAATATATTGTTCTTATGGCTTACTGTTTTCTTGACTTAATGTGTCAGTTATCCAACCAGTGGTTGGCTATGAAATGTGAATATTTCAAGAATCAAGAATAATCTAATGAAGTAACTAACAGTGATTCAATTTGGACTAAGTGCCAATAGAGAACAGAGTCCATGTATTTTTAAAAACAGGAAAATAGTCAGAGAAGCAGGTTACCTGTTACCCTATAGCCATCTCTGACCAAAGATAAATGTAACATCGCTGTAACATACATTAACATATCCAGCAGAGGCTCTGTGCAGCTCATAGGGTCAGGGCCTTTCCTGCAGAACGATCACTGATGTTCATGTAGAAGTTGGAAATAGCAATCCAATAGAAATCCAGCATCCACCTCACAGCCATCAACAGGAAGAAAGCATATAGACACCATAAATTTAACATTGAACTTCTCAGGCCTCGATCAATCCCCGACTAACCCTGCAGTGACTGGTTAGTAGAAGACTATGGTTTCTGTGTGGCTCTTAGGATGTTGCTACAATGCTTTCAGTGATTGTTCTCAAATTTCTCTGCTTCATCTGCAAAATACAGGTAATGTCCACAGTCCACAGAAGATTGTTGTAATTGACTTTAATCTGAGTGCTACTTGGATGTTAGCAGGACTTGTTAGTTAGAGTGGTATGGATCTTATCTCCCCATATCTCCCACATGAATGAACGTAATTATTGACATTTATGATTTGTAAAAAATATATGTATTGATAGAGTGTGATAACTTGAGGCTTGGTGAGATGTGCCTGTAGTATTGCAGTGTCTCTTTAAAGGAAGGGGGAGTGTAGAAGAGGGACAGAGGAAAGAGATGAATAGAAGGAACCAGAACCACCTACCATGACCAAATGCGCTGTAAATGTAGGACAGAAATTCGAGTGGAATACAAACGGATCATCAAGCGACATATTCGAGGGAAAACCATGTTTGGATGTGCCTTATCTGATTCAAATATTTTTAAATATGGTACCACATACGATCATGGGAACACAGGAAAAGTATTTTCCCTCCCAAACATTTCTTGCATTTTGAAATGGAAAAGAAGAGTGGCAGTAAAATACATCCCTTTGCTACCTTTCTCCGATTATCAATGGTAGGCATTGCATAATTCACCCTTATCCACCGGAGCCATTTGGTTCCTCCTCTTTGGGAAGAGGGGGACGCCAGAAAAAAACGACTACATCCAGTAGCTGCCTTCTCGGTGGTGCTTGCAATTGTTTGGCTATGCCCTTTTCTCTCTTAGGAAGGACTTGCAGACAGTAGCGGCGGAACAAGCAGGGGAAGGATGCATTTAACGCTGGGTGTGTGTTGCATTCAGGGAGATTCGGCAGTAATAGCAGCTCTACCAGAAACAGCGAGTGCGGAGGGCCTGGGAAGCACCCAGCCCCACTATATCCTCCTTTTCCTCCCCCCCTGCAGGACCATGCTTGCGTGAGGGATGAGGTTGTGCACAGGGACACCAGGCCAGAGCTGCGGCCTACTTCTCACAAGAGCCGGTCTCTCGACTGCAAGATCTGTGAACACATTGACACCATCAAATCAGCATCTTTGGTACGCAGCTTCCTCTGTCCACCGTTTGCATCAAAAATACGTGTGTGTGTGAGCGTGCGCGCGTTAATGCGTGTGTGCGCGCTGGCGGCGGGGGGTGAGGAGGGGATGGAGCGGGTGTCTGTGTTCTCAGCTGTACATCTGTAGTCATGGCAACCAGATCCCGTTAATGGATGTCATTTTTTCCCATCCTCAGCTTCCCTCCCTGCCGCTGGTTTCATAAGTGAGCACTACATTTATATATATACTCCTTGTAAATCTCCGGCCGATGTCTAATACCACAGAGATTTCATTTTTGTCATAGATTGTAAAAGGAGCATTTCCACATCTTCTCTCTTGGATTGTGATCTTACTGACTGGTTTTGACATCCCATTGACATATGGATGTATAGATGTTACTTGCATAACAGAAAAACCCTGGATTCATTGATTGGTTATTTTATGTTGCTTGATATTTTCAGACACTATTCTATTCAGACTTCTGAATAGGATTAAACAGCAGAGCCTCTGTTGAGACTTCAGTATCACCTGTAAACACTTGTTAAATTCTTGGGTTATCGTGGCTGTAGTTGTGTGCAAACTGATTGCTTTTCTTTGGAAGCATTGTTCTTTGCCTCTGTACTGTATGCCGTGTGTTTTAAGCTCTAGCCTCTGACTTACTGGCTCCACCATGGCAGTTGTTTCTCTCTGCCTGCTCTGTCTTTTACTTCCGGTGTTCCTCTGTATAGGTCATCAGGTAGATCCAGGAGCATGAGCAGGACTTTGAGCTGCGGGAGCAGATGTCTGGGTATAAGCGCATGCGGCGGCAGCACCAGAAGCAGCTGATCGCCCTGGAGAACAGGCTAAAGGCCGAGATGGATGAGCATAGGCTCCGGCTGCAGAAGGAATTAGAAACACAAGCGAACAACACTTACATTGAGCTGGAAAGACTGGCCAAGCGCCAGGCTGCTCAAACAGACAAAGAGGTACAGCCCCAGCAGCAGGTGTTATTTATGAATAAGTTGGAAATTCAGTGACTTCATTCACTTCTGGGTGATAATTTGAATCATTGTTTTGTCTTGTCACAGACAAAGTCAGCTGCAGCAGAAGAGAGGAGGATCCAGCAACAGATTGTTGCTCGGCAAAAGAAAGAGCTGACTTCTTTTCTAGAGGACCAGAAAAAGGAGTACAGGCTTTGCAAAGAGAAGATCAAAGAAGTAAATATAATGGACACAAACAGTGCAAAGTTTTGGAACTTACATATAATATCTCTTAAATGTCCAACACAAGTTCTCACACAATTTTAACAACAATTTGTCTTCAGCTCATATAAACCCTATTCATTCTGTTATTATTGTGTTTGTCACATGTTAAGGAGATGAACGAAGACCCTTGCATATCCAAGGAGGAGAAGCAGGAGCGTCTCTCCAGGCACAAAGAAACAATGCAGCGCTCTCAGGCTGAGGAGGAAGCTCATCTGCTGGCCCAACAGAGGGTGGTCTATGACCGGAGCTGCAGGGCCCTAAAACGCCGCAGTCTACTCAGGAGGCATGAGTTTGAACAGGAGCAGCTGAGGGAGGTAATTCATTTCTTATGCAATAAAATATCAAAATCAATGCCAGAGCCCTAATACAGGATCATTTACATATATAAAAATACCAGGTGTGTTGAATTTACAGTGTTATGATATAAAACAGATAAAACAACAAATCTCCCACACTGGGAACTTACGGAAAGTATTCAGACGCCCTTAAATTTTTCACTCTTTGTTATATTGCAGCCATATGCTAAAATCATTTAAGTTCATTGTTTTCCTCATTAATGTACACACAGCACCCCATATTGACAGAAAAACACAGAATGTTTGACATTTTTGCAGATTTATTAAAAAAGAAAAACTGAAATATCACATGGTCATAAGTATTCAGACCCTTTGCTGTGACACTCATATATTTAACTTAGGTGCTGTCCATTTCTTCTGATCATCCCTGAGATGGTTCTACACCTTCATTTGAGTCCAGCTGTGTTTGATTATACTGATGGGACGTGATTAGGAAAGCCACACACCTGTCTAAGACCCTACAGCTCACAGTGCATGTCAGAGCAAATGAGAATCATGAGGTCAAAGGAACTGCCTGAAGAACTCAGAGACAGAATTGTGGCAAGGCACAGATCTGGCAAAGGTTACAAAAA